TGTTCATGCATATTACAATTATTGTAAATTAATAGTCTCCGCTATTTATTTTAATAATTAATGGTTGTGACATACTATACAAGCTGTTGTTATTGTTATCTGCTTTCAACAGCAACTTTTTTCCTTGTGCCATAAGTTATTAATTATACAACCTGGACTTGCTTCAGAGGTTATTTGATTAGCCATTAAAAAGTTGGTGAGAGACTTTGTTGTCAGTGTTTTTCAATTGCTGACGATATCATTAGTATGTATCCCTCATTGCTCATTTCTCGGCCAGTACTGCTCTGATAAAGCCCTATAAAAGTCACTGCAATGTGAACATCGCATAATTCTAATCTTAAGTATCCCACTGAGCAACAAGTCTTAGCAAAGGTTATCCAGTCTGTCTGTCCTTAGTAAGTCATGCCCTACCATAAGTCACATTTTTTGCTTGGATCCCAAAACCCATGACTTATCGAGGGGCTACTGATTTCACTATTTGTTTGTTTCAATCTTTCAATTGTTTGTTTCAATCTTTCTAAGTTTATTCATATATATACATGTATGTATGTATATAATTTATATAATAGCAAATCAAATGCACAGCAATCAAAACTGAAACCATCTGAACTAATTAAAACGTTTTCAAAATATGGTAAGTTTTTGTCCTGACTACAACTCTGTGTTTGTTTGTTTGTTTTTGTAGAAATTTCTCATATTTGCAATTTGGAATCATTGGACGTTAGTTGCAATAACCTGACATCCATTTCTCCTACAATTGGAAATCTGAAAAAGCTGAAGAAGCTGCATTTATCAAACAATGACCTCAAGTCTCTTCCTGCAGGTATGTACTTATAATTTTGTATGGCTGCCTTTTAGCTCAAATGTCATCGAAGATGATTGTCCATCAGCAGTTCTATTTTTGATTTCTTCTCGAAAACTACCAATTACTTTGATACTTGGTTTGTAGGTATTTGGGTGGACCTCTGTCAGATTTGTTCATTTCTTAGAAATATTTTCATTCTCTATTCAGCGAGTATTTTTGTCATTTTTGATAAAATATTATATTTTTGGTCTTCTTAAAAACTATGAGCCCGATTGCTTTGATAATTGAGATGTGAACTATTCGTTTAATGAAGTCAGGTCGGCATGTTGTTAGCAGTCAGAACCAAACTACTTTTTTGTTGATTAACAATGTTTTGTTTACATTACTTGATTTGGCTGAGCTATTTCAACTGTCAGGTTGCTTGTTTTGCACATAAAATCTGCCAGTGTAGCGATAGTCAACATTAACATATATTTGTAGCCCATGTGCTTATGTGAATTATTGATATTTATAGTAATTCAGTATATAACAATTCTGATTTTTGTTTCATGTGCATTTCTAATAGGTTAAATATGGTATGAGGTTGTCATGGAAATAATTTATCTGCATTTGGAATTATCTTTGAGATCTTGTACCAACTCGTGAGTTTCTTTTTTTTCCACAGAAATTGGAAAGTTGAAAAAACTAACAAACCTGGAAGCTATCAACAATAAGTTGGTGTTGATACCAAATGAGATATGTGAATGTGGATCTCTAGTGACCCTCGCCCTGGACTGTAATCGTCTCAAAGAGCTGCCCAGAGACATCATCAAATTACAGTATTTAACAGAAATATCACTAGCTGGAAATAAACTGACTCATCTTCCGTCAGGTAAGCAGTTGCCTTGGATCTATGCATTTTCCAAGGTCTACAATTCCTCTATAATAACCACCTAATTATAGTGATCAGTTTTGGCCAAAGACATCAGAAAAAACAGAGACAGGCAACTGTGGTATTTTCTTTGATGTAATTAGTCCCCGTTCGGACGCAGTCCGAAAACGGGGACTTATGTTTTGCCCTGTGTGCGTCCGTCCGTCCGTCCGTGCGTCCGTGATCACCTGTATCTCGAACATGCATAAACCGATTAAGTTCAAACTTCACTCATACATCACACATTATATGGGACATATGCACATGCATTTTTTTCATGATCTGATTAACGATAGC